AAAAAAAAAAAAAAAAAGCAAAAAACTAGAGAAGTCTCTCATTCCTTCTTTTTCGTGTATGTATCAAACCCCAAAGAGGGGAACAACGAAAAAGGCTTTGATCTATTGAAACGGTTGAATTAGAAGAAGTAAGTATAAAGCTAGCTAGTTCGGTTCAACTCCCTCATTTGGGTTGTCAACTCAACACAATCATTATATATTTCTTTACTTAAATTCAATTCACATTCTACAAAAATCCACACAAGGAAAAATTTAAATTCACAATTTTAATGTTGTGATTTTAGTCTTTCCACTGCACCAGAAGCCTAATTCACATTAGGCACATTATATATATATATATATATATTGTTATGAAATTTGATTTATCGAATATATATATATTAATAAATATGTAGTGGAGAACATTCGGGTATAATACCATGCCTACTTAAACTTCACCGGCAACCATATAATAAACCATTGAGGTTGAAAGATACATTCCAGCGGGAAGCACGAGGGGAACGCTTATTATTATTATTATTATTATTATTATTATTATTAATAAGTAAAAATTGATCTCTTGCATGACTTAAGTACATTAAAAAAATGAATATTTTATTTTTAAATAAGTATTATGGAATTTAAATTGTATAATTTAAAATATTAAATAAGAGTGAATGACTCCCTAATATTAAGAACTGTTACCTCCCTTTATACCATACAATTTGAATGGTAAAACATATTTTTATTTTTATTAAAATTGGTTCTTATTGATTTAGAACTTGGTATGGGTGGGCCTGATGAAGTTGGATCTACTCCGGCCCAAGTTTATTATTATAGAACCCAATTATATAGTTCTGTTAAGTGTTAAGACCTTGGCTAATCCTGATTATTAAAGGCTTTATGCTCTTACCAATTTCGTTGTGGTGGTTTGGATTCACATTTTGTTATTTGTTTTTTTTTTTTAATAAACTAATTTTTGAATACTGTTAAATAAAATTTTAATTTTAATTTTTTAATTTTGCTTAAATTTTTCAATCACCAAATGGAGCTTAACAGAATCAAAATTTATGCAACAAAAAAATATATCTTATTTTCTTTCACATAAAGTTAAAAAATCAATTTGAAGAATCATACAGAAAAAATAAATGAATAGATGATTACATATGACTGTCAAATAAAAAGATTAACTTTAGGAGCATTCTTCCCGAACAGAATTTCCAAATCATTTTCCAAAGGAGTCAAATTCAGGTCCATACAGAAAACCCTCTTCCTGCTATTTGATCTGCTCAACACAGGAACGCTCGACGCAACTGGAATTGAACTCAAGCTCTCTTTCATGGCGTTTCTGTGCCTCCTCATATGACCTCCCAGAGCTTGCCCCAGGGCAAACTCTTTGCCGCATATGAAGCATTCGTGACTCTTAGGCTTGGTTGCTGGACTCTGAGAATTGGTAGCATCCTCTGTCTCTGCCGTCAGTTTTGGCTTCTTGTGGCTCGCCCGGTGGCCTCCTAAAGCTTGGAAGGATGGGAAGCGACGGTGGCATGTTTTGCACTCAAAAACATTGCTACCCAAATGGCCTTTTTGGGTTTCAATGCCTTGAGAAAGCTGAATGAGATATCTTGCTATGTCGAAACTCTTCATTTCTCCGTTTTCTCTGCCTCTCTTCATCTTTGCCCGGTATGGATTTTACACAAACCAAGGGGCATGCCTTTTATAGAATTCAAGGTTTGAAATTGGACTTTGTATGTGTAAGAAAAGTCAGAGAGTTCATGTGATCGTCAGACAAACGGTTGTAAAAGCGATGAAATTGGTTAGGAGTCAGAAGAATAGTAGGAAAGTGCAGCAACAAACAATCTGAATTCAGACAACGTGGGTTTGAATCAGATTACCCACGGTCTTGGAATTGTCTGTCGGCTTGTCATTAATAATAAGCACGCGGAGCAGCCAAGGAGGAAAGTGATTTGGATGATTTGGTTAAATTTGGCGAGTGGGTACGGATGTCAAACAGTGCTCGGGTAGAAGAGTTTGACTACTTGTTGTTGGTCAAACTTAAGAAACTTCTCGGCTACTTGCTAATTGTATTTGAATTCTTCAGGCTTTTTCATTGCAGGAGTCAGCAAAAGCATGGTAGATGGCTTGCTGAGCAAGTGGGGGATGGTGTGGTCCAATTCATGCAGCCAAAATGGAAAGAGCAAGGATAAGACGGCTTGTGTATTGCTGTAACTATGCTTATTGTCACATAAAAATTTGTTAAAATCACATAAATATATTTTAAATTTATTTAATTTTATTAATTTTATTAATTTATAACTTATTAGTATATTTAAACATATTAATTTAGATTGATTCCAAGCTATTAATAATAGATTTTAATTATTATTTATAAATTATTAATCAATAATTACAATTATTACCTACTTTAGACAGTTAAATTAAATAAACATATAATATATTTATATAGAATTGACAAATATTTGTGTGAACCATGTTCGTGGATTGCTATCTCCATTTGTGGTGTTTTGTACTTTAGTCAATTTGTCAGAATAATAGAATAACAGCATAAGTGGTCTTCACTACCACGTGTTTTTTTGGTCTAGATTGCTAGAACACTTTTAATAAATCTTATTTAGTATTTAACTACTTTCACATTATGAACTACATGCCGTCTAAACTGAAAAGAAAAGAAAAAGGAAAAAAAAAAAGGATTTCTAAACTCAAAGTTGAACAAGTTACTTTCTGTAGTCTAAAATAGTTAGTTAGTTGTCGCTTTCTTTTCATACGCAAACAATCTTAACAATTATAATTAGAAGAGATGATCTCCCATGAAATTAATTAATACTAAATTAAGATTGTAACAGCAAATTGATCTTTCTCATTGCATGCCGAGCAGAAACATCCTACATTAGATGACGAAATATGGTGCAAATAAAAACGCCAACTTTATATTTTTTTTATTTAAAAATATTAAATTTGTTAGTTTTTAAATATATATATCAATTTTTAACTTTTTTTTATTTAAAAATGTTAACGTTTAATTTTTTTTATTTAACAATGTCAACTTTCAATATTTTAATTAAAAAATTCATTTATCATATTAATATTATCATTCAATTAATTTTTAAATAAACAAATTTTTGTATATTTAAATAAAAAAAATTAAAAATTAATATTTTTAAATAAAAAAATTTAAAAATTAATATTTTTATTTAAAAATTAACAAAATTTTTAAATAAAACAATTTTAAAATTTACATCCTTATTTACCCATTTTCTCGACACCATGAACATTCATTGCCAAGGAGAAATCGATAGGCATGATTGGGAAGTTGGTTTGGAAATTTTTCCAAGAATCTTGGCTTAAGTATTACAACCAAATGGAAAACCAAACCTGGCTTTTGACAGTCCAATTGGACAGGCACCAGTGTTGCTGAAGGCTGAAGGCTGAAGGCGCTG